TTGCCTTAAGTATAAATTTTATAAATAGTTCTCTTCCATCGTTTGACTGCGTTGGATGTTGTTGACCATCTTAAACTATTAAACGACCTTGAAATGTGGAGTGTTGTAGTTCGATTCTCAACTTACACAAACTCACCAATCTCCATTTTGTAAGCAATGTTGATGTTTAACATTAACGTTATCTTAAAAACTTGTCGCAAATAAAGAACAATAGTAATAGATGTAATTTGTTTAGATAACATGTACTCCATATTAAGAGAGTTCCCAGAACCTTTAGAACATATTAATATAAATAACTTTGTATCCACATGACAATAATATATAATAAACCTACCTATTTTGTTAGCGAGGAATTGTGTAGTGAAGATCTTACTATTACGGATCATCAATAGAGAGAGATTGGTATTGTTTATCGAAATATCGTTTTGGTTTACTAGGGAGCGGTTATACCAATTATAGCGAGATAAAAACATCAACAATAATATATTGATAAATTAATTTCCCTATCAGTCACAAAAAAAGATTTTTAAAAAATGTAAAAATAACTTTAACTCAAATGATAACAATGACATTATACAAGTAGTAACAGTATTGAATACGGAAAAGATAAAATAATATCAAATAAGATAATAATTTAAATCCAAATGTTACAAATGATGATGCTTAAAGCTCCAAACAGGCGGCTTAAGGCAAACCCGAGATCGACCCGAAAATTTCGGGTTGGTTTCGTGTTGATTTCGAGTTAATAAGAAAATTTTGCGATTTACATTGATTTAGATAAATTTATCTAAATCTTATTAATTAAATATAAAAGGCGAAACAGTTATAAGCCCGCAATTGGTGTTGTGCGTGGAACACGATTCGTGATGTAAGAGATGCAATGCAAGTCGTAATTCGTGATGCAGGGCATACAGTGTGTTTCAAAAAAAATGGCGCCAAAATGTAAATTTATTTTAAAAATTTTCACATGACAAAAAACGATTGGGTATCTTGTTTGAATGATAATAAATACTTGTATATGTGTTTATTACATGGCATTTGCAACAGGATAATGATCCAAATCACACATAACGTGTTACAAAACCTTCATTTTGAAAAAAGAATTTGCATAATAGACTGGCCATCCAACAGTCCTGACCTTAATCCCATTGAAAATATGTGGTATATCATAAAAAATAATGTTGAAAAAAGGATTCCAAGGAATGTTGGTGAATTGAGAGATTTTATGGTCGAAGAATTCCTCAGGAAACAGTCAAAAATATTATTAAGTCTATGAAACAGAAATGTGAGTTGGTTTTAGAAAAAAAACAGTGGTATAATTTCTCATTGATTTTTTTTATTTAATAAAATATTTGATAAACTTTCAAATGAATCTAGTTTTGTTTATCTACTTTGCATAATTGATGAGATATGTGATTTTTTGTGCGCGCCATTTTTTTTGAAACACTGTAACTCATGTTAATAAAAAAAAATTTCACACGGCATTAGTAGAAATTCCTCGTTGATCTCAAATTACGAATTAAAATAATAATAATAATCATTAGACTAAAGTTCCTTTTTCTTCAAATTTTCTTCCGTTTTAAATTTTTTACATTTAAAAACAAATACTTTACAACTTTCATTCATTATTTTTTAATTTTTATCTTTTCTTAGTTTTTCACTATATATAACATTGTAAACTGTTTCTAGCGAGAAAGTTTCTTATATAGAAATCAAAAAAAAATAATATATAAATACCATGACAAAAGTAAATCAGATGCGGAGGGAGACATCGCAGACATTCTCCATGATGATTTTAAATATGCTATTGGTAATTTAACATTGGTGGTGCCGCAATATAAAAAAAAATAGATGTTAAAACATTAAAAGTGGAAAAATTATGGAATCTATTGATTTGTCTATAATATAGTGACAAAGTATGGAATGTCATATGATCATCTAGGTAATAAGTGGGGCGAAGGTGGAGCGAAGTCTTGATCAGAATCCATTTGAATTATTAATAAATTTAAATGGTAGGACTGGTAACGATTCAGGCGGAACTACGGTCGTAAAATTTCGTTTTGGTGAAATAACCCAGCACAGGAAAAGTTTGTTTTACTTCCAGGTGTTACCTTTGGCAATAGCGTTTATTTTATTGATCCTATTGGAGTATATGGGGTTGCAGAAAAAGAATAACTATCCGAGACTGTAACATTAGCAATTATTGGAACAATAACAGAATCTATCTCAACAGTTCACTCTGTAACAACAACTTTTGATATTAATATTTGTTGATCTTCGGATAACTGTCGGTTTCAGCAGTATTAAGCATACCATACCATTACTAGTGACTTTGTATTATAAATATAATAATAAGAAGAAAGATAGCCTATTCAGAATACCAGGTAGGCAACTTCACCAAGTTACTCGAATCACCATATTTAATATATAAAGCAGAGTACTTATTCTAATAATAATCAATATGTAGTTAACCGCAAAAAATACACACAACAGCAATTTTATTGGTGGCTTGTGGCGGGTTAGGAACGTTTAAAAAGCGAATTTTTTTTGCGTATAATAATAACTACACTATTTTCTTTTACAATAAACAATTTTTTTCACAATAATAAAGTTTAAATTTTATAAAAAATTTGTTCGACAGTAAATAGTAAAATAGCTCGCTTGCACGTGCCCAGTTGAAACTTGTGTACATAATAATAAATATTGTGAAAATCTTTAAAATTTTATTTTACATTAGAATAAAGAATAAAATGAGACTAAAGAATTGTTTATATTCAAGCGGTTATGATGTCAATAATATATTTAATTCATTATTTGTTGTTTCAATATTTGGCTTTTTAGTTGGATTTGGACTTGGTAGATTTTATGAAAAAAGGAAAAACAAGGTTAACAAACAATATAATTCATTTTTTGAGGATAAAAAAGAATATTTTTTTAAATAATATTTTCTTTTTCCAAAAAAGTTTTTAAGCAAGAAAATAAAAAATGATCAAAGTTCTGATGGATCGAAGAGTGATAGCATCAATCCATATGATTATAATGGATTTAAATTGGTATTTTCAATCAACTAGTTAATAATTTATAGATATATATTTTGTGTGAAATGATCAAAGATTAATTATAATATAAAATCTATTAATTATTAGGTATTATGTGTAAGGAATGACCTTGGAATGACAAAGGGTAAAATTGCCGCTCAGGTCAGCAATTATCTTTGTTTCTTTAATTTTGATTATTTTCTATTTCTAATGAAGTTAACAATTTTATCCATTAATAGTGTTCACACGCAACTTTGGCATGTTATAAAAAATTACAAAAAACAAATCCTGATGTATGCAATGTTGTATAATTTTATTGATATTGATTTTTAAGAATCAGGCGAGAAAGATTCGCTAACAAATTATCGTTTTAAACTAATAGTTATTGATGGCTTGGGAAGATTCTGGTCAACCAAAAATAGCTTTAAAAATAAATGATGAACAAGAAATGTAGTAATTTTATTTGTTGTTGTTAATAGGACATTTATCATCAAATTAACAAATTAAAAAATTAACATTTTTTAAAGGATATCATTGCAAGAAAAGGCAAAAGATTTAAATTTATGTGCAAAAATTATACAAGATGCTGGCCGTACACAAGTGGATCCTGGCTCTAAAACTGTAATTGGAATCGGTCCTGGTAATTAATTGATTTGATTGATTGGTTGAATTGTGAATGGGATGTTATCAGCAATTAATTATTATAACGAACTAATTAATTTGTAGGACCTATACAGCTAATAAATGAAGTGACAGGACATTTGAAATTATATTAATATTAATAAAAAATTTTAAATTATTATTATGTAAATAAATAAAATATTGAGTGCGTAGATCACATAAAATTTATTGGCTATGATAAAAAATGTAATTCCATCAAAAAAATTTTTTTATTAATATATATATTTATAGAAAAAATGCCAAAGGGTAGTAAATCTCGAAGCGTTGAACAGCAACAGAGTGAAGATGATTTTTCTATAAAACCTTTAAAACATACTCCCTCACTTGACACTTCAGAATGGCCGTTATTATTAAAAGTTGGTAGAAAATTAATAAAAGCTTATTTAAATAAAAAATAGTAAAATTTGAATATTAAAATTTACATAATTAACTAAATTTATGCTAGAACTATGATAAACTTCATGTGAGAACGGGACATTACACACCTTTTACTCAAGGTTGTTCGCCTCTTAAGCGTGAAATTAACGAATATATAAGGTCTTGATTCCGGGGGTTTTGATTTTTAGAAAATTAAATGTTTTTAAAACTAAAATTTTTAAAAATATATGTTTACATATATTTATTTATTTATTGATATAAACACAGATATGGTATAATTAATCTTGATAAGCCTGCTAATCCATCTTCTCACGAAGTTGTTGCATGGGTTCGCCGCATACTTGAAGTTGAAAAAACTGGTCACAGTGGTACATTGGATCCAAAAGTTACTGGCTGTTTGATTGTTTGTATTGATCGAGCCACACGCTTAGTTAAATCTCAACAAAGTGCAGGTACCTTGACACATTATCTATATAACATCTATTAATTAAAATATTTAATTTTTTTGGAAGAATTTATTTTTAAAAAAATTTTTCATTTACCATTATTGGAAAGGAAAGGAATATGTGTGTGTAATCAGATTTCACGATGCTCTAGAATCATACAAGAAATTTTCACAAGCGTTAGAAACTCTCACCGGAGCTCTATTCCAACGCCCCCCACTTATATCTGCTGTAAAGCGTCAACTTCGTATTCGTACAGTTCACGAGACTAAGCTAATAGAATTTGATAACAATAGACATTTGGGTGTTTTTTGGGTTAGTTGTGAGGCTGGAACATATATTCGTACTTTATGTGTACATATGGGATTATTACTTGGAGTTGGTGCTCATATGCAAGAATTAAGGCGTGTTCGATCTGGTGCCCTAACAGAAAATGTAGGATTGATAAATATACCATTATCGTTATTACTATTATTATTTGTTTTTTTTTTTTTTTTAAAAAAAATTATATCGATTAATTGATAGGATGATATTGTTACTATGCATGATGTAATGGATGCTAAATGGTTATACAAAAATACAAAAGATGGTATTATTATTATTACATGTGTGATTATTTACTATATTATTCCCAATTTATACATAATAATAATAGGATTATTATTGTTGTTTTATTATTCTATTATTTATTAGAATCATACCTTCGAAGAGTTATAAGACCTCTTGAATCTTTACTTACAACTTATAAACGTATAATAGTTAAAGATAGTACAGTGAATGCTATATGTTATGGAGCTAAATTAATGGTTCCAGGTTTACTTCGTTACGAAGAGGGTATTGAACTTAATGAAGAAGTGGTTATAATGACTACAAAAGGTGAAGCTATTGCATTGGGTATTGCATTAATGACAACAGCTGTGATGGGGACTGTGGATCACGGTATAGTTACAATTTTCTTGTTTTTTATTTATAATTATAATTGAAAATTTTTTTTAAAATTGAAAATTTAAATCTATAATATACCTAGGCGTTGTTGCCAAAATTAAAAGAGTAATCATGGAACGTGACACATACCCAAGAGCTTGGGGACTAGGAAATAAAGTATTTTTTTAATTTCGTTTTACTCATAACATTATTATAAAAACAGAACTTTACTTTTCTCTCTGCTTTAATTATATATGTAAAAGGCCAAGGAAAAGAAAAGATTGATTTCTGAAGGAAAATTGGATAAATTTGGTCGTGTTAATGAGAAAACGCCAACAGACTGGAGTAAATCATTTGTTGATTTAAGTGATGTTGGTACCAGGAATGACCCTGATTCAAAGTTACAAACTCAATTAATATCCACGGTACCAATAGCATCCACATCCAAGTCAGCATCTACTCTTATAGAAGAAATTAAAACAAAAAATAAAACTGATGACGATGAATTAGTAGAAACTGAACTTAAGAAAGTGAGTTTATTTGTTTAATCGGTTTTTGGGGAAGAGCAATGAATTAATAAACTAAACACACTTTTTGAATGTTATTTAGAGAAAAATAGACGACGCTTCTTCAGATGATGAAAAAGACGAGGAACCCAAGAAGAAATCACATAAAAAAGATAAAAAGAAAAAGAAAGCAAAGGAATAGTTTTTCAATCAATAAAGAATTTATTAATTTATTAATTTTTGGTAATATCAAAAATAAAAGGTTTATAATAATAAATTAATAGTCTGTAGCTTCATATATTTGTAATTAATACCAAAAATTTTATAAACTTCTAAACAATTACTTGTTACTTTTTAAGACAATTAAAATCTTTAAACTTTTGGCACTGTTTAACACAAAATATAATACATTCAATGTGATTTCAATTAACTGCTGAACTGATTCACTTTTACAATTTTGTCAAATTAGTTTAAACAATTTTTCCAAATTTTCATTATCCTTGGAATTACAAAAACGAAATTATTTTTTATTAAATTTAATATATAACCTAACATGTCCAATAAATAAAACTTATTAAAAATATCAAATCTATAAACTTTAAGATTTGGAAATAAAGTAGTATATTTGCATTTATATGATGTTATAAATTGAATATATCCATCGAGTGATTTTTCTTTATCTGAATTATGATCAATTTACGATAAGTTCCTCCAACGAATATAAACGAGCCTCTGACTGTTTTTACACAGAACTATGCATTAGTTCGAATTTGCTTTCGATCTTTCTACCCATTTAGGAAACCTCCTGCTGAATGACTTTTCTAAATCCAAATAAAAGACATCGCTGCCAATCGAATAGTCATCCTTGTAACCATCAAAAAAAAAAAAAATTAATCATAACTTAATAATAAAGACTTTAAATTTTGAAAATTTGGTGTCATAGAAATCAAATCATCATTTTTAAATCTTCATCCATCATAAATTAATTGTTGATTTTAAACGCTTTGATACCGCGTTTTTGATAAAACTAAATTGTTGCTTGAATAATTATCTATTTTATTAATCATAACTTTTTATTCATTAATCTAATTAATTATTGGTTGATGTGCCAGTGCTGAATGCTGTAGCTGCAGTTGGTGTTGATTAGTGTTGCTCATAATATATAACTATGTTGTATCTCGTTCTTAAATTCTTCAGCCCAGTTTTCAATCTATCACTATTATTCAGACTATCCTATTATTCATACATGTATGTTTACAAGTATATGTGAATATATGTACGCGTATATATTTTTGTGTTATATATATATACATTAAAGATGTGTGTGATATAACTCTCATTGACAGTTATTTCATCTGTTAATTTTCTATTTATTATTTAATTCATTTAATTCTATTTCCCCCTTCTCTTAATATCCATTTTTCATGATGCAGATATGAGTAAGAGTGATGTATGAAATATTACTAATAAGTAAATTTCTTTGCTACTTTCCTCTTCTTTATTAAAAAACATGCCCCATTTCCTAAACCCAATAACAAAATGCTAATAACATGCCATTGACATTAATTGACAAATGTTTTACAATTTTGCATTGTCTATTTTTTCAGATTTATAATTTGTTGAAGTATCAATGCACCATAAATTATTTGAAGTATATAATATATACATATGAAGCAAGAAAGCTAAGACTCTCTTCTTAACGATTTTCATTATCTGCTTCTCTATTTATTATTAATTATTAATTTGTCTATTTATCTCTATAGTTTTATCCACAAACTCTAGTCAACTTTACAATTTTTGATTGTATTTAATTAATTATTACTTTAAATAACTCATTTATTTTTATGTTTGATTGTATTGTAACAAATAATAAACATTGTTTGTCACTAGACTATTTATTAAGCAGTAAAATTTTTCTTAACCCAAAACTCCAACCAATTCCTTCAATTTTCATGATAGCAGCTATTTGTTCACTGCCACATTATCATGAGTTCCAGAAAGGTTGCTTCTCGTCTTTTGTGAATTCATTCCACAACTTTGATTGAGATTTTGACAGGACCGTCTGATTGTTGTAATCGGGGAAGGGTGATCATCAAGTCTTTTTTTTTATTAATTTAGAATTTAATAAAATTACTTGAAAAGTTTTTATTTGTTTCTTTATCAACTACTATTATATAAAGTTGAATTTCTCCATAAAAATTGTTTGGAGTAGTTTGTTTAAATCTTATTAGTGGAATGGTATCTTTTAAATGATTTTTCAATTCAATTATTTCACTGAAATATTTTTTTCTTGAACTGCCCATTAAATAGATAGGCCTTTCTTGAATGTCAACTTTAATTTCTACATCGTAAATAATAACTAGTTTATTGAATAATTTACAGGTTTGTTGTGATGTTTTTTAATGGTAAAGACCTTCCTCAATGCCAAAGCATTAATCAATTTGAGTTTTGAAAAAATTTTATCATTTATTTGATTTCATTACACGATTATCAATAATTACCACAGTAAAAACCAGTTGGTCATATGAAAAGATTTTTTGCAAATGTGATCTATTTTCAACGCTTATTTTATAAATGACTATTTTGCAATAAAGGATGCTAACAAAGGATCAGTTGGTAATGTAAAATAATGAACAAATTGACAAATTTTGATAATTTATATTCTTAAAAACATAATTTTTACCAATTCCTTTATTTCATTAATAATGTTGACAATAAGCTTTCTTTGATCATTTATATTTACATTTGCTTCATATTCATTATTTTCTTCATCACAATCATCTAAATTAAAATCATTCATTGCTCAAGTGTAATTGAATTATTTACTATTACAACGTGAGGTACAACTGTGTGGATGTCAAATCAAAATTAAGAGTTTAGAAAATTTTAATCATTTTAACCAGTCATAAAAAACTTCTGCTATGCTACAAAAATGTTTATGTTTCACTCATTTTAAAATTTTTTTGGATGTTACGTATCATATAAAAAGAAAAATGTAGTGTTGTGTTCCTTCTTTCACCGATGATTTTCCAATTCACAGTTTTCTTCTCCCGTTTTAACCTTTTTTTGCATTTAAATCACTGAGTGTAAAATAAGCATACTCTCTTATATAAAAATCAAAAAAAAAAATCAAAAAAATCAAAAAAAATCATGACAATAACTATAAAAAGTATATCGGATGCGAATGGAGGCAATGGAGGAACTCACTATGATGATTTTAAAGATATTATTGCTAATCCAACATATGGTGGTTTCGCCAATATAAAAAAAATAGATGTTAAAGGAATAACAGACATTAAAAGTGGAGATTTTTTAGAATCTATCCGATTTGTCTATAACATAGTGACAAAAAATGGAATGTCATATGAATATCAGGGTACTAAGCGGGGACAAGGTATAAGAGGTGTTGTTCAAACGCCATTTGATTTTGCTGATAATGGGGGGTTGACAGAGATAAGAGGCAAACTTGATATTCTTGTGGGTGGAGCTACAGTCATAAAATACTTGATGTTCAAAACACCAAAACAAACACTTGGTTACGGTAAAGATGACCCGGCAAAGCAAGAATTTGTTTTGCCTTCAGGTGTCATCTTTGGTAATACTGGTACTAATGTTGATTCTATTGGAGTATATGAGATTGCAGAAGAAGAACAACTAGTCAAGACCGTAACATCAACAATTATTGAAACAATAACAGAATCTACCTCAACAGTTCCCTCTGTAACAACAGTAACTCCCTATGCTGCAACGGAAACGTTATTTGTTGATAATCCTCAGACAGTTATTGGTCTCAGTATTCCCTTAGCAGCATTAAGTGTAATAATACTTACGACTTTGTATTATAAATATAGGAATAGAGATAGTCTACCCAGGGTATCAGGTAGTAGTCAACAATAATTACAGTGAATATATTATTAAAGGAATTATCTGCATATCTACTAGTATATTAAATTACTGTCTTTAATGCATGTACTTATTCTACTAAATAATTTATTTTAAAAAATTTAAATCACGCCAATATTTTCTATTGATGATAATATAAACAACAATATAATGTGAATTTGGATGCTCATGGTAATAGCTGTACTTATTCTACTAAATAATTTATTTTAAAAAATTTAAATCACGCCAATATTTTCTATTGATGATAATATAAACAACAATATAATGTGAATTTGGATGCTCATGGTAATAGCATTTTTCATCTTTAATTCGCTTCACCATTATAATTTATGAGTAACACAAACTTTTAAATAAATATTAATATCAATATTGATACACAACGTTAAGTCGCTCCAAACGAATATAAAAAATGCGGGGAAATTTAATATATATTAAATTTATTAATTCTTTAATATGTAGAAGTATACTAACTACTCCTACCTATCCTATCAAAGAGGTATTCTAGATTTTAATCAAAATCATTTTTGGGTTGAATTAATTATGTTTTTTTGGTTGCAAATATTGTTTCAAAAGTTCGGTCAGTGCCGAATTGGAACTGATGACTATATACGCTTATATAAGGAAGCCAGTAGCAAATATACAACTCAACTGTTCACGTCCTACTTAAATTTTCCTTTTTTAAAGTTTGTTTTTCTTTGTTTATATAAAAATAAAATAGCTTACAAAAATGAGCATAACGGAAGTTCTGTCGATCTCATTACACGATTATTTATATATATTTGTTTTACAAGAATGTTCTTTAAAGGTCACCTTATTTTTTTTTTAGCAAATGTGATCTTATGTGACTTATTATTTTCAACATTCGCAATAAAGGATGTTAACAAAGGATCAGTTGGTAATGTAAAATAATGAACAAATTGACAAATTTTGATAATTTATACTCTTAAACATAATTTTTACCAATTTATTTCTTTCATTAATAATGTTGAAAATAGGCTTTCCTGATCATTTATATTTACATCTGACTCATTTTCATGATTTTCTTCATCACAATCATCTAAATTAAAGTCACTCATTGCTCAAGTGTAATTGAATTATTTACTATTACTCTACCAATAATTAATTATAGTTCAATTTTTCTCTAATCCCTTATTATTTAAGGGTTATGAAACTTAAAAGACTCACTAATTTCTAATTACAACGTAAAGAGTTTAGAAAATCTTGTCAATCATTTTTTAACCAATCATAAAGAACTTCTGCAATGCTACAAAAATGTTCGTTCATTTTAAAATTTTTTTTGAATGTTGCATATCATATAAAAAGAAAAATGTTATCAAAGTAGTGTTGTGTTTCTTCTTTCACCGATGTTTTTCAATCCAATGTCTTCTTCTCCCATTTTAAACTTTTTTGCATTTTAAATACCTTACAACTATTAACCATAAGTATCTTATTTTATTTTTTTTATTATAACTTTATCACTAAAATAAACAAGTATAAAGTTGCATACATAAAAAGTAAAAGATATGACAATAATTGTAAAAAATATATTGGACGCGAAAGGAGGCAATGGAGGAACTCACTATGATGATTTTAAAGATATTATTAGTAATTCAACAAAATATGGTGGTTTCGTCAATATAAAAAAAATTGATGTTAAAGGAATAACAGACATTAAAAGTGGAGATTTTTTAGAATCTATCCGATTTGTCTATAATGTAATGAGAAAAGACGGAACATTATATGAACATCAAGGTACTAAGCGGGGACAAGGTTTAAAAGGTCTTGATCAAACGCCATTTGATTTTGCTGCTAATGGGGGGTTAACAGAGATAAGAGGTAGAATTGGCGCCTTTACAAGCGGAGATACAGCCATAAATTATTTGATGTTCACAACACCAAAACAAACACTTGAATATGGTAAAAGTAACCCAAAGGAGCAAGAATTTGTTTTACCTCCGGGTGTCATCTTTGGTAATAGCGGTGATTTTATTGATTCTATTGGAGTATATGAGATTGCAGAAGAAGAACAACTAGTCAAGACTGTAACATCAACAATTATTGAAACAATAACAGAATCTACCTCAACAGTTCCCTTTGTAACAGCGGTAACTCCCTATGCTGCAACGGAAACAATATTTGTTGATAATCCTCGGACAGTTATTGGTCTCAGTATTCCCTTAGCAGCATTAAGTGTACTAGTAGTATTAACGACTTTTTATTATAAATTTAGGAATAGAAATAGAGACAGCATGCTCAGAGTAGCAGGCAGTAGTCTACAATAATTACAATGAATAAATATATTATTATATAAAGAAATTATCTGTATATCTACTAGTATATTAAATTACTGTCTTTAATGCATGTACTTATTCTACTAAATAATTCATTTTAAAAAATTTAAATCACGCCAATATTTTCTATTGATGATAATATAAACAACAATATAATGTGAATTCGGACACTCATGGTAATAGCATTTTTCATCTTTAATTTGCTTCACCATTATAATTTCTGAGTAACACAAGCTTTTAAATAAATATTAATATCAATATTGATACACAACGTTAAGTCGCTCCAAACGAATATAAAAAATGCGGGGAAATTTAATATATATTAAATTTATTAATTCTTTAATATGTAGAAGTATACTAACTACTCCTACCTATCCTATCAAAGAGGTATTCTAGATTTTAATCAAAATCATTTTTGGGTTGAATTAATTATGTTTTTTTGGTTGCAAATATTGTTTCAAAAGTTCGGTCAGTGCCGAATTGGAACTGATGACTATCTACGCTTATATAAGGAAGCCAGTAGCAATTATACAACTCAACTGTTCACGTCCTACTTAAGTTTTCCTTTTTTAAAGTTTGTTTTTCTTTGTTTATAAGTCACTATATTAAAATAAAATAGTTTACAAAAATGAGCATAACAGAAGTTCTGTTTGTCGATCATTTATTTGATCTCATTACACGGTTACATATCATAGGCAGAAGTTTGTCTGATTGGCTAATTTTGCCGATCAATTTCAATTGAGTTCGCATATTATTTATATAGTTTAAAGTACTTTTTAAGGTTTTTAAGAATACAACGTTTCACTAATAAAAAAATAAAAAATCATTGCAAAAGCCTTTAAAATAATACCAACGTTCACTGTGCAAAAGAATCAAAAAAAAATCATACTCCTGACATACTTTACTTAGAAGACAAAAATGCCATTTACTAGTAGTATTACAGGGCCATGTGCGATTACTATATGCAAGAGACAGTCAGTCATCCAACTGGAGAAAGGTAACTGAACACGTTATTTCCAAAGGTCAAACTAACAAAACTTTTCCAAATTATGTTCAACTAGGCGATACAATTTGTTTAAACTGTTATAATGGAATCATAACAAGGAGTGCAATTAAATTTCAGCAACATGCATTAGAACAGTCCCATCATAATGAGCCAGAAATTTATATAGAAACTTCTAGTAAAGATAATAATAATAATTTAACTTTTTCACAAGCAGTAGGGATAGTCACAGATATTCTCTATGAACGAGAACATCAAGGATTGCCACCAATTTGGATATTTGAAGAATTTCGTGCAGTTATGGAATTAGAAGATAAACGGCTGAAGTATTTTTTTGATGAATTATATTTATCAATCAACCCGTTAAAAAAAAGCAAATCTACAATGGAAAATGTATCAAAACAGTTGGTATTTTTATGTTATTTTATTTGTGGTATTAGAAATAAGTTTGTTAATAATGCAAAAAGAGATCTAGGGATGTATTTAGATTCTACTGGGACACCTGATTCAACGATAGACACCTTGGCAACATTAGGTATGACAATAACATCTCGTTCAATTGCTTACCACAAGGATGCTATATCTAAAAAACATTTGACAACTGTGGAATCAAATCTTGCAGATAGTACTAATAGTGCTCTAGTTTTAAATATTGACAATTATCACAGTATACACATTAAAAGAATGCCTGACACTACCACAACATCAAGTGCAGAACATCTTGCTACTATTTTACTTAACCCAATTAAGAATCAACCAGCAATACCAAGAGAAGATATTCATAATCCTGCGTTAATTGAAGCTCAGCTAATCAAAATTGGAATTGAAAACAATTTTATGTCAACGTATTCACTTTCTCATAACCAACATTGGGGGTTTCACCTTGTGAGTGATAAAACAAAGCTTGAAGAATTAACAGTCCATAGCTATGATGTTCGTTTAAAAGAAAAAAGGAACACAAGATCACTAAAAGATGCTGTACTTGTGGATCTCTTGGAGAGTAAACTTCAATCAATGGAAGCTTATATAAATGCTATTAATGTTGCAGCATCTGTTCCAACAATAAATAGATATATTGAAGATGGCAATGTCATCCCAGTTGTTGCTGATTGGCCTGGTCAAATATTCCTAAGAACTGCTATATCACAGTGTCTTATCTATGGTAACTCTTCTGGAATTACTAACAAAGTTTTATCATTTCTTCCAATGATGGGACCATTGCATATCTCTTTGAATAGCTGTGAGTTAATATTTCTTCAATATCAACCATTTTTCTCTGGAATGTACAGTTATATATTTGGTGCCAGGAAAAAACTTGCTCAAAAACCAAAACCATGGCGTATAAATTTACTGTTGGAACTCTCACGTAGTGCATGGCAAGAAATTTCAAAGATAATTGAAATTAAATTTGGATATGCATGTAAAGATGTAGAATACATAGCACTTAAAGACCTATTAGATAACATGATTCCATTGGTTCTTGATATTTATGCTTTGTTTTTTCGGGCTGGTGATTTTAACTCTTACATTGAATCTTGTTTTCGAGTTTGGGTTATTTTTCTTAGGTTCCATCGTAAAAATTATACTAAAGCACCTTTAATGTTTCTTTCCGACGTTTTTTATTGGCAATCCAAAAGTCATTCAATTCTAGAGATAATGAATGCTGAACTGCCAAAATTCTCTGATTCACCTGTAGAAATCTTTCATAGTCTTTTACGGCGCAGTACAGAGAAACATCTTACAGCAGACCAAATAATAAAAACAGCACGAAATATCAATTATTTACGATTTGATGATGATGACTTTAAGGAAAACTTTGTTCACACTTCATCTTGGGCAGTTTATCAGTATTCTTCTCGGAATATTGAAACTTTGACATGAAAAACTGCATGTTATCTTCTAGATTGTTTTACTGATATCTATACTCGTATTAATCATAAGAAAATTCAATTTTTAATTCCACCACAGGTTTCTATGAAACGCCCATTAAAAAGGAGTAAGAAGGAAGGAAGTGCTAATACAGGAAACAGTATTCCTATTCCAGCAATGAAGATGAAGGAGGCATGGCTTTGTCATCTACCTTTAGGATATAGCTCTTCACATAAGCCTAGTTTGTATGGTTGTGATTCTTCTAATTGTTTTATTACTAAAACTATAATCACTGAAGAAACAGGGCAGGTACTGCCATGTGGCCATAAAACTGTTATAGTGGAATCATAACAAAAAGTGCAATTGAATGCATTAGAACAGTCCCACCATAATTAGCCAGAAATTTATACAGAAACTTCTAGTAAAGATAATAATAATTTAACTTTTTCACAAGCAGTAGGGATATTCTCAATTTAATGATGATGACTTTAGGAAACTTTGTATTAATCATAGGAAAATCAATTTTTAATCCCACACAGGTTTCTATGAGAAGGAAGTGCTAATGTAAAAAACAGTATTCCTATTCCAGCAATGAAGATAATCACTGAAGAAACAGCCATGTGGCCATGCATATCATAACACATGTTTTAACTAAGATGGATCCAAGTGCTTACATTGCTTAGATTTTATTAAGGGTGGTGTTGGTAAACATGTTCAATCACTTCTAAAAGTTTACATCAAATTAATTTGAATAGTAATGCTGAAGGTGAAGGTCCCGATTCTATTCTTGAAGGTGGTAATGATGACATTAAAGAATTTGCAGATGGCATTTTAGTCCCATGAGATGATACAATATGGTGACTTCTTCGGCTATAGTTTTTTTGTTTGATTACTATTATCCCTTAAACGGTTTTTCGGCTATTGATAGCT